GTGTCCACACAGCTAATTAAACCATAGAGTGATACCTGAGAGTTGGTGTCCACACAGCTAATTAAACCATAGTGATACCTGAGAGTTGGTGTCCACACAGCTAATTAAACCATAGAGTGATACCGGAGAGTTGGTGTCCACACAGCTAATTAAACCTTAGAGTGATACCTGAGAGTTAGTGTCCACACAGCTAATTAAACCATATAGTGATACCTGAGAGTTAGTGTCCACAGAGTTGTAACAGGATCCTGTGGAAACATTCCAGAAACGAATATGTCTGTCTGCCGTTCCTCCGCCACTCGCCAACAAGTCTGGTTGCCATGGACACCAACTCAGAGCCTAGCAACCAAGATGAACATAATCACACACTTATCAAATGGACTTGTTACAAACTGACTCGGTTACTTTAAAGTTAAAAAGAACTAAGATGATTGCTTGAAATATCAAAGATAATATATCAATTTCCTATTAAGCAGCAAATATAAAATACCAGATTGCAATAGCTCATTAGTTCAACATTTTGTCATGTGTCTGAAGAAACAAAGCAAACTGATATGCAGACCAACAATGAAAAGTAAGGTGAAATACCAGGTTAACACTGCAGGAAGAAGATGCCAAGTACATTTTAGCTTAAAATATGTATGTATTTTTTTATATGTTTAAATTGTAGAATTCCTGAAAAATTTGAGGAAATGCTGAGTATATTTGCGTGAGCCTTGATCTGCCGTACCTTGACTGCCGCCTGGTGGTGTGTGAAGGTGTGTAGTGGTAGCGACTCGTGTGATATGTTGTTGTCCCAGATATTTAGCAGGTTGTCGTTACCACCGCTAGCAAGATAACGTCCGTCTGGTGACCAGCTGAGTCCACAAACCTCTTGGGTGTGATTGGACAGAGTGCCCACGTGATGTTCAGCCACTCGTACATCATGGTGACGGATCATACCAGACCGGGCTCCACTGTCAGACAGAAGAACATGTACATTAAAACTCGATCTAATCAAAACAAAACTAGAGAAACTTTGAGCGAGCTCACAAAGATATATATCCCCCGCTTGCGCTTACAATGTTTCTGGAGCAGAAATTGAAGTTTTAAGGAAAAATAGTTGAATCACAAACTCCTTTCTTCATGCACATCTACATTTAATGTACTTTCACTGTGTACAGTTACAAAAACAATCCAACCCACAGTTTAGGAGGAGCTGTACTTACAAGGATAGACGGGATGATTACTATATTTCCCACCAAACTTTGTATAAAAATGTTTAAATGGAATTATAGTTTAACCTGTAATAAATAATTTATATGTGAAAAACATTAAACATGTAAGTTTATCAGGTTTGTTTTGATCGACAGACTTCCCTAATTACTTTACCTGCTGACTACAAATGTGTTCCAAGCGAGAGATCCCACTCGAGCTGAATGCCCAGTCATGGTTCTCACTAACTTCTGTTTCTCAGCGTCCCACAACTGAAGGAAAAGGACCATATCTACTCTATCAATAACACATTTTCTCACCAACATTTTCTCAAAGAAAATATGCAATAGCATTTCATAAAATTGTTCAATAGTTTATAAATTCATCAGCAAAATATTAATATATCATTAGTTTTATGTAAATTAATTTGATCTTTTCAACAAGAGAGAATTCTGTTTTCTGGCAGACATCTTTTTCTTATGAAAAAGCAACTTGAAATTGAACCAAATATGCTAAACTAGCAAACAGCAAGAACTTAATAATACAAGGGAAATCTACATACAAAGATATGTGTCTTTCAAGTACTTTTGGAAAAAACACCTAGATGGCTGTCTGGTGGCCATCTTGTTTTTCCAATCAAGACCAGGGGGAATCTACCAATACTTTTGATAAAAACCAGTCATGACCTTAAGATGAGGCCAGTAGGATTGAGTGTTTGACCAGGAGATAGTTTTAAATATTACCTGAGTGTTGCCCATGTTGGTGCCTACAGCCAAAATGTTTCCCTCCTTTATCCATGATACACAAGACACATAATCGTCAGTGCTGGTCATCTCCATCAGCTGGACAATTGTCCCATCCGAGGCATTCCACATGTACACAGCTCCGCCCAGCGCTACGGCTAGATGGTTACTAGACCAATCCAACAGGTTTAGGTCTGTATCGAAATTAACATGCAAATATATATATCAAAAATTGTCTTATACTTAACACCTTTGAGTCCACTCCTTTACTTCAGAAAACGATGCTGTTTAGTATACAGTGATTTTATGATTTAATTGACAAATATAATGTTGATGCCAACAGGTATTTCTGGAGATGAATCGAATATTTCTGGAGATGAATCGAGTATTTCTGGAGATGAATTGAGTATTTCTGGAGATGAATTGAGTATTTCTTGAGATGAATCGAGTATTTCTTGAGATGAATCGAGTATTTCTGGAGATGAATAGAGTATTTCTGGAGATGAATTGAGTATTGCTTGAGATGAATCGAGTATTTCTGGACATGAATAGAGTATTTCTGGAGATGAGTTGAGTATTTCTGGAGATGAATGGAGTATTTCTGGAGATGAATTGAGGATTTCTGGACATGAATCGAGTATTTCTGGAGATGTATTGAGTATTTCTGGAGATGAATGGAGTATTTCTGGAGATGAATTGAGTATTTCTTGAGATGAATCGAGGATTTCTGGAGATGAATAGAGTATTTGTGGAGATGAATTGAGTATTTCTTGAGATGAATCGAGTATTTCTGGAGATGAATTGAGTATTTCTGGAGATGAATAAAGTATTTTGAGGAATACAGCATTTACTGCAGTATTACTCTCATCCTTCCCCCAGTGACAGATGGCAGCATTGTCACTGTCAAAGCAAGTATTAATTTAATAATAATAAATAATAATATAATAATATACAACATTTATATAGCGCCCTATATAATTTGTAAAATTTACTCCAAAGGGCTTTACAACATATGGATAATAGTAATGGTTATGATAGTGAAAACAAAAAACAAAGGCTTACAATCACTTTTATACATTTAAGCAAGCAATGTGCACATAATTGAACAAATAAAAGGATGGTATTTACATGACATCTTTGCAGTTTTGATTTCCCTCTTGAACTTGGCCAGGGTATTTGACTTTCTAATAGCAGATGGTAAGCTATTTAACATGTAAAGAACCTATATACATATTTCACATTGACTTTTTTCATGTTATTCAGTTTTTAATTTGTACACTCTAGTGAAAATAATCGTTGTTAGGGAAATTCAAAACAGCAAAGGCTGCAAACAGGTACATACTTTTACCTTAATTAAATATTTCATATAATACAGTCGTGTGAAAATGCCCATACTACGGGCAGAACTGTTCTGATGCCTTTGAGACTAGAAGACATTTTGACACAGAGGCAAAAATTAAATAACAGTTCTTACAGTAGTCATCCAGTAGCTCCGGGGCATCTAGGATCCGGTCCGGCTGCTGCGGAATGAAGCGAGTGGTGGAACACTTGGGGACGGCCGATTTACTGGAGCTGTACAACACCTTGAGATTGTTGAGGTGGCCTAGCAACACAAGCATTGAACTCTATAAAATTGGGAGTTAACTTGAAAGTTCTGAACATATCACATTACCTTTTAACTACACTGTATCATCTTCAAATTCTAAGTGAAATCATCAAATCAATGAAAGGCACTAAATAGACTATTTAACATCTAGATTTGACATAAGGTATAAGTACTCCAGTAAAACACTATGTTATCACAATATCATTTGATAGATTATGAAATAAAAACACATCCTTCAAAATTCATAAAACAGCTTAAAATTCAGATGTATTGCATGATTATTGTTAAACATGTCCTATTCTTGATGCAATAGGTTTTTACTTTCCCAATACATGTAGTACTTTTCATATTTCATGCTGGGGGTGTTTGCTTCATGAAATCTATGCTACACTGATTCAAGACTCGTGGAAAACGTAAACAAGCAAAAACAAAATTGGTGTAAGAGCTAGTGTCTAACAAAGAACAGATAAAAACTGCACAGATTTTCAAACTGCTGTAATTATATTATACATGTAACGAGCTACTGTGTACCTGCTGTGCTTTCTGGTGCCTTATCCTTAAAGCTGAGCACCTTTGCATTCTGAGGATTCTGTCCTTTACTCAAAGCCTCGTTCAGCTGCTGGTGGTACCCAGTCTTTGGTGGTGGTGTGTTTTCATCATTCTTGTCATTCATCACGGCATAGTGGCTCATGTCAATGTCAGTTGTTGCTCGGTTCGGAATAAACCTTGAAGGAAGGTTTTCTGTCTACTTTACAGCTATTTTATAGGGTTCACACAGTTAAATTCACATTTAAAACAGCCATTTTTGGGGGCGATTTTTTCCCCAAAAATGGTTGCAAAATGTCCAATTCCATTACCTTTTATAAATCACCTACAGCTGTCTTCAGTTATAGAACAAATAGTGTTTTTTTTCTCTCAAACAAACAGACGGCAGGATGCTGTAGCAGTCAAAAGACTTTGATTAATTGAAGATCTTTGGAAGACTAACAGCTAACAGTACTGTTATATATATAGTGACTTGACCATTGTACAAGTAACAGAAAGTAACTGTAAGAAGATGTAAATCTTTAGTTCTATTACTTATGGACTAGATAGAAAAATGATAAAGATCCCAATTGCACTACAGTAGATATATCCAACATGAAATTATGAGGCGGTTAACACTGGTTTCTGTACCCTGTCAGTATGTACACACTGGAGTGTTTTGCCTGCACAGGGGTTATGTATATAATACCTGTCCTGTTTGGGCTGTGGTTGTTTGCCCGGAGTCTTATTAGGAGTTTTAGATGGGTGTTTCCCCGGGGGCTGGGTCTTCCCAGGCGTCTTACTTGCTGCAGGAAAACTGAGAGCTTTACTGGGTGACAACGGCGTCTTAGGAGTGATGCCTGCAGGTGTCTTGGCAGATCTTGGTTTCCATGGGGATAGAGGACCTCCTAGTATATGAAAAAGACAGATATTACAATGTTATAGTATCACACGTATGCATGCATGTTTCCCGTTCCATATGCAAAAAGTTATGGTTAGTGTTTTAATTGTCCTGTGATTACTTTTATGATAAGACCCTTGAGAGTATATGGTTGTGACTTCTAAAAATGGGCTTTGACTCCTAGGTTTAAAAGACATATACATGTATGCATATATTCTATTTGTCATAGGTTTCCAACCTTTAAAGTCAACAGAAAATGTTAATTGAACTTTGAAATAATAGAATTGCTCAATGTCAAAGGTCAACTGAAAGCTCTGCTTTCTGTGCACTTGTACTGGACAGTCAAATACCGATTCTAAGGTCTTGTACTGGACAGTCAAATACTGATTCTAAGGTCTTGTACTGGACAGTCAAATACTGATTCTAAGGTCTTGTACTGAACAGTCACACTATTTTATCAAATACTGATTCTAAGGTCTTGTAATGGACAATCAAATACTGATTCTAAGTTCTTGTACTGGACAGTCAAATACTGATTCTAAGGTCTTGTACTGGACAGTCAAATACTGATTCTAAGTTCTTGTACTGGACAGTCACACTATTTTATCAAATACTGATTCAAAGGTCTTGTACTGGACAGTCACACTATTTTCATTTCTCTGCAGATACTACATAGCCATGGGTGAATAGCCAATAATGCATCAGGTGGATATTTCAGTCACCATTGTTTTTATATTAAAAATGGCCATGGACATTTCCGTTAATTATATAATTTGGAATGGGGACCTTTTGTCTCTCAGTTTGGGAAGAACGGGAAGGAATCGTCAGGAGTAAGCTGCAAATTTTTGGAATATTATAAGACATACATATCAAATAGTTTCAATTGGGTATGGGGCCCATTATCTACCCTAAAAACTCCAAATAATCTGAATGTGTACGTTGAAGACACCAATTAACTTGTATTTTATCAACGGAGGCCAGAGAGCGCATAAGAGAACAAGAAGCCCTGTATCGCTCACCTGAATATTTAAGCAGTCATAGCAAAATATTCTCATTAAATATTATATTGCACTACAAATATTTCCCTCGCAAACTTTGTCAGCTCCATTTGTTGAAACTACCAGCCAAATATTATTATAAGATTCTATGCATTTTTATTCTTCTTCAGAAGATGCTCGACATATTTTCCCCTGTGACCTTGTAAGTAGGTCAATGTCATTTTCCTTCTCAAATTGGTTAGCTCTTTTCCAAAAAAAAGCTACCAGCCAAATCTTATGAATCCATTCCTTTTAATTCTTGAGAACAAATCCTTTAAAATGATCGCTGTGACCCTGAAAGTAGGTCAAGGTCATTTTCATTTGCAAACTTTCTCATGCTCAATCTAACGAAGTTCCCAGCCAAATATTAAGATTCTATACCTATACGTTCTTTGGAAGAAGTCGTTCGAAGAGTAATAAAGTAGGTTGAAGTCATTTTCATTCCCAAACTTTGTCTGGCTCTATCCAAGAAAGCAACCAGCCAAATATGAAGATTCTAACCTTTCAGTTCTTCAGAAAAATACGTTTGAAGAGTTTAACACATTTGACCCAAGTGACCTTGAATGTAGATCAAGGTCATTTTCATTCTCAAACTTTGTTGGGCTCTTTCACAGGAAATAACCAGTCAAATATTAAGGTTCTATACCTTCCAGTTCTTCAGAAGAAGTCGTTTGAACCGTTAAAAATATCTGACTCCTGTGACCTTGAAAGTAAGTCAAGGTCATTTTCATTCTCAAACTTTGTTGGTCTCTATCCCAGAAAGCCACCAGCCAAATATAAAGATTCTATACCTTTCAGTTATTCAGGAGAAGTCGTTTGAAGTGTTTGACACATTTGACCCCTGTGACCTTGAAAGTAGGTTAAGGTCATTTTCGTTCTCAAACTTTGTCAGGCTCTATCCCAGGAAGCCATATATTAAATATAAAGATTCTATACCATTTAGTTCTTCAGAAGAAGTCGTTTGAAACATTTGACATATTTGACTCCCTTTGGGCAGGTGAGCTAATAAAAACACTGTAATGTACATGTGGTACATTGCACATCATATGAAAACTGGTTTGAAAGAAAAAAGAAAAGAATATACACACTAGTTTCAGGCGCTACTTGGAGGTAACTTAATCCAGCCTCTTCAGCCTTTCTCTGCCACCTCATCTTGGGACCCTTTTTGATCTCCCCATCCATTCGTGTCACCTCCGACACCATGCTATGAAACTGGAACTGTGACATTCTTGAAATCTGCAAAAACATATTTTGATATCTTGACTTTGAACACTGTCTCTTTAAAAAATATCAAATATATTGATACTGTAAAGAACTTTAAGGTAATACACACAGTCTCATGTCAGTGTATATAGTATGAGATGGGCTCATAACTTTTCCTCAAAATGATTAAAAAAAATATGGACGTTGGTTGGTATATTCCGTCTTTGCGTATTGCAGAGTTATCTTCTCTTGTGAGCAGGTATTGATTGTTACGTCATTGGTTTGTGATAGTTACGTCATCAAATTTTGAGAAAACGACATAATTTTCTCACACAAACCAATGATGTAACAATCAATACCTGTTCACAAGAGAAGATAACTCCGCAATACGCAAAGACGGAATACCCATGTCAAGAATGATGTAATTAATGACCTTTGCAGAAATTATTTGTTGAAAATATTGATGACTTTGTCTGAAAAGTAAGGTTTGAATGCAGAATTTTAGTGGCGCATGTAATGATGTTATTGCAATAAATAATGAAAAAACTTACCTGTACATGCATTCCTGAAGTGACCTGTAATGACTATTATCGAGAAAAATGTAAGAAACGTATCAAATCTCTAGAACAACGGCATATATTTCCATTGAATAAATCACAACTGAGCATAAAGCCAGCAAGGCTGACTGAAGTTGGAGAAAAGCATGCAAAATAAAGCAAGTGCGATTTTACCTGTACACCATATTCAGAACACTGCAGATTCTTACTCAAGTAATCTGGCTTGACTTGTATCAATTGCCTTGTAACTTAGCTTCATGAGTTATTGTAAAATAACCAATGAAAATACATGCCATCATTCTTGAGATTTGAAGTATTTTCTTACATTTTTCTCGATAATAGTCAATACACAGATACTTCAGGAATGCATGTACACTGGTAAGTGTTTTCATGAATTATAATATTATAATTCAATGAAATTTTGCGCCACTAAAATTCTGCATTCAAAAGTTACTTTTCCGACAAAATAAAGAATATTTTCGCCAAATAATATCAGCAAAGGTCATTATTGACATGTTCTTGACATGGGTTATACCAACCAACCTCCATATTTTTTTTTCATTTTGAGGAAAAGTTATGAGCCCATCACCTACTAAAACCTTAACGTTTACTATAACGTACTCAACTAGAACGTGAGTCAGACGGAAGCAATACAAAACACGTAAACACAAAAGAGAACTAGAAAATGGAGATGTAAGACATAAATGCCCCCCTCCCCCCGCCATGGACGCGACAGGACGGACATGTGCAACACTATATATGCCCCTTCCCCCATATTATGGCGAGGGCATACACATGCTCTACTTATTCACAGGCATCTATACCTGATACATTTTTAAGGACCGAGTACCGAAGCAGGATTCGTTCCCTCGTGGTTGCTGGACAGTTGATTTTCATTAAGATTTTGTGTCCATGCAAAGCAACTTTGCGGTATTTGTGTATTTTTTTAATTTATTATGAATAGATAAATACTAAGTCTTGGTCGTACATTCACAACAAACTGCTGAACCCGAGGGATACCTATTAACACTGACAATCAGTCCACTCACCTATTTTGTCATGTGTTGGATTGCTGCATCCTGCAGTAGGAAAGAGACTTCAAAAGTTAGCGCGTTTACATCACGTGATCTAAAATAAACCCGAAGCATAGGTAATTCTTTGTGTTCATTGGCCAATATTTGATTAATGGCGGCGCCCAGGGTACTATTTCCTTTTGGTTTTGTTAGAAACTGCGTCATTTTTTTTGACGGTTCAAACCATTGTCACTCATTTCAAATTGATGTATTGATTTTAATAGAAGAAGGTTAAGCATAAAATAAGCTCCATATAATTACTGTTTCTGGTTTTTCGAACAATCCGATTTCAAAGGTACAAACATCGGTAGAGGGCACGTCTATCATTTTTTTTAATAGATAAGACTAGAAAGGTGAGGAACTCAGCCCCTACCAGCTGCTGGCAAAATTGAGGTAATATTGTTTGAAGTGTCACAGAAATTTGATCCGCTAAAATCCTCCCCACAGCGTAGTCTTGATCGAAAGTAGGGACATCAATCTTTTTTTTAAAACACGCATTATACATCTTCAAAACAGTGTAGTTATTTCGTAAGCAGTTTCGAAGCTTGCCAAAATCACCGATTTGTGTTACTTCGGACACGATCCTGAAATTTTTTTCGAAACAAATTCTTCATTCGGTACACAGTATAGCGGACGACGTAACATTAATAAACCATGGTATACTCAAAGATAAGGTCAAAACACACTTGCTTACTTGTTTTACGCACCACTAAATTTCTCCTCTCGTGTCCCTCAAGTATTTTCTCCGCAAGATTTCACATTCAGCCCTCCTTCGTCCACCATCTTGGAGAATTTTAGCTTAACTATTTGCTAGAACACTCATTTTACACACTTAATTACTATATAGTACAATGAATGGACACCTGATGAACAATCGGGGGAGATGTAGTTAATGTTTTTTATATTCTACATTACAACGAGTAGATAAGGATATTGTGACATGTATTACGCTTATCTAAAAAATAATGAATTATTGTGGACAGACAGTCTTATACAATTTATTGGTTAAGGATTTACTCACACAAACACAGTGTAGTATTACATAATGCTAACTATATTAATACTTAATAACTGTATTTTACCGGTGATAAGTCCACCCACACTTTCCTTACTTTCCATGCATAGGGTGCACTATATCAATACACGCATAACTGATGATAATAAGACAAAAACATCAATATAAATCATATTTGTGCTACATACACCATTCGTATGTTATATCTAGGTAAGACTGTAAGAGGTGTTTTTGTCTCGTCGCCACGAAGTAGCAGAAGTGAGACTAAAATAAAAGGTGTTACTGTTCCTGCGACGGCGGAAGCGTCAACATGAAGTTTTTGCGTTTAAGTTAGTTTCACTGAAAGTTTAAGTGCTAAACCAACCAAACTTGGACCATAGATGCATCTTAGGTAGTACATCTCAACCCATGTATCAAATGCCGGATGCGGCCTACCTTTCATGGTCCATTGACTTTGTCAGTATCACCATCAACTTGAAGTTTTTGCGTTTCAGTTAGTTTCTCCAAAACTAAGTGGTAGACCAACTAAACTTGACATGTACATTGATGGTCAAAGTGGGGCACAGGTGAGACATATCAATCCGAATGGCTTGTTAACAAAGTGGGGCACAGGTGAGACATATCAATCCAAATGGATTGTTAACAAAGTGGGGCACAGGTGAGACATATCAATCCGAATAGCTTGTTAACAAAGTGGGGCACAGGTGAGACATATCAATCCCAATGGCTTGTAGGTACATCATGGAAAGGTGGTGTATCGCAACTTAATTCAAGCTAACTGTGACCTCTATTTGACCTTGACCTCTTGTACTCCAAAAATGGTTTCCGGAGCACATCCCAGCCGCTATTTTATGAATTGGCATCAAACTTTGTATATAGGTACATGAACACCATGGGAAGGCAGTGTGTTGCATCCTAAAACAAGGTCGCTGTAGCCTCAAATGGGTTCAATTTGACCTTTGACCTTCCCCTCAAGTACTAAATTGAGTGTAATTCAGGTTTCCTAAAGCATATCTTAGCCCCTGTTTCATGAATGGACCTCAAACTTTGTAGATATACCCAGGTACCTTGAAAGGTTGGAAAAACCCCCAGAAACTATACATAAAAGTTGCTTGTAATCTGTTCAGTATAAAAGCACTATAACCTAATTATGCATGGTAATTATAAGCACCTCTGTCTATTGGTGTAAAAGATAAGTAGTATTGTCACTTTTAATATTTGGGTATGCAGTCACATAAACTTATTTAATCAATTATGGATCGGTTTACTTCTAACTTCTGATTTCAAACAAATTATCGATTATGTTTTTTAACGATTGCCCATCACTGATATCTTTTTACTCCATAGATCAGACCTAAGGCAGCATAATTTCAAAGGTTCTGCAAGATAATCCAGCTGAGAACGATGTCTGCTGATACTGGTATGTTAAATATGATGTTGTGTAGACTACAGCTCCGGAAGGTTAACCTGTTGATTAAAGTATCAATAATCAACTAACCGGTATCTCATTTTAGCCCACCACTGACATTAGACGGTGGGTTGTTCAGATCGCCATTTGTCTGTCCTCTCTTCGCCATTCACCATTTATTGTGAAGTACAGATCTATCTCAAATTTCATATGAAGGTTCATCTTGGTCTGTGTACGTAGTTGTGCTTGTTATATTTTGAGACTGATCAGAAATACAAGATGGCCACAAGGCAGCCATTTTGAATTTTGAAAATTCCAAATATGGCAATTAAAGTTTGAAGTTAATCTGTTAAAAATTACTCCAGATATCGAGAGGACATTTGATTACAGGAACTTAACTCCGTAAATTAGTCGAATAATGGTTGTTATGGCATTTGTAGGAGCTCTCATGGTAAGTAATCTTCCTATGAAGTTTGAAATGAATCCCGTGGAAATTACTCGAGATATCGAGCGGCCACCGTCTGACCACCCACAGGCATATAATAATAACAAGATTTTTACAGTACACAACAGAAAAGAAACAAATCATGGGAACAACATATTACTTTATATTGTTTTGTCAATATATTTATCTTAAACTTATCTCTTAAACCTTGGTTTATTAGAATTGCTGTATAGCGTTTATTATAAGTTTTTCCGTAAGTTTTTAATGGAATCACAAATTTTGTCTCCATCATAGAGCCTCCGATTCATGATATGATAAAACCATTGTCATGGTTACTTGGGAAGTGGAGAGGAGAAGGAGGTGTTGGAAAGTACCCTACCATCAAAGACTTCAACTATGATGAGGAATTAACATTCACTCATGTGGGACAGCCAAATATTCAGTTTAGGTACGTACTTAACTTTCCATGGTATGTTCTCACTGTCTAGATGAACAACAGTAAATTGTTCACTTGTGGTATGAAGATTTTTATATACAATAAAACCTTGTCATATTGCCACCATTTGTCTATTGAAAGTTTGGTGTTATAAAGGGGTTTGGCAATAAATTGAAGGAAAAGTATGAAAGAATTTTTGATAAAGCCAAAAAAAAGGGACATTGACAAATATTGGCAGTAACCAAGGTGGAAAATAAAACGGGAGGTATTATATCGAGGTCTTGCTGTGTTTCACAAATGTGATATGATGACAATTTTCAACCCATGAGTTCATTTTTTGTTCAAAGTTTGTCTAGAGGTGCAGGACAATAGAAAGCTCAAAATATTCTGCTTTTTTGAAGAACGGAGGAGAGCAGTGCAACTTGACTTTGTCCTCTGTTAGTTAGTTAAAACATCCATCTGGCGTTTTGACTTTTAACTTCAAAACTGTTTTGCTCTCCCTGATGATGATTACGTTTAGGTTGTTTAGGTTTTAGATATTTTTCAGTTGCTCCTTCCTTTCATTGGTGTTCTCCTGGCGACCATTTCACACATGTGTTTTTTTCATCAGAATCATGGTTTAGATGTTGTATTTTGTGGTCATCAGGACAAGAATTAATCTCGAGTCGAATTGTTGTTAAGACTCAGCAAGACCAGCAAGAAAAACTGAGCAACAGGTCATTTGATCCCTAAACTACAGTGTTGTACATATTTATCTGACAATTCACCCATGCCTGGTAATATGCAGTTTAGTCCGAATTATTCTGACGTTTTATCGACTTTTTTCATATCGGTCTGTCGTCGATTAACGTCAGAACTCCGGCCCTCTATAATATGCGGGAAATATGCGACCCGCGCCTGGAGCGCACTTCAAACTGATATTTTAGAAACAAATCGTCACTTTCACACACATATCGCACATGGATCGAAAGATCAATTCTTTATGCACTAGGTGGTATCAATAACATGTTTCAAAGATCATTACGAAAAGCATTTTCCAACGTTTTCTATACCAACCCATGTTTTTTATGGAAATTAGGCCATGAGAAATGTCACATGACTTGTGTGAAAGTGACGATATGTTTGCGCTCCGGGCGCGGGTCGCATATTTCCCGCATATTATAGAGGGCCGGAGTTCTGACGTTAATCGACGACAGACCAATATGAAAAAAGTCGATAAAACGTCAGAATAATTCGGACTATATGCAGTTATGAAGAACTTCCAACACATGCAATTGTCCTGTAATAAGCCCACCTTCTTACTTCAAGTCAAATATTATGTGTTAGCCCACTGGGCTTATTGGCAACTACAACAGAAAAAACCAACAACAAAATAGCAGCTATTTGCCTGGTGCTTTGGCTTGTTGTTTTTATACATTTGATGAGATTACTTAAATTGTTTTAGCTTTTTTTCATCAAATGCGGAGACCAAGAAGCCACTACATCGTGAACTAGGATTTATACGTTTCCAGCCAGGCACAAAGCACTGCGCTTTGTTGATAGCTCACAACCTGGGTAAGTTCTGTTTGGTATGTCTGTCCTTGACCTACAAAGACCTTTAGTAAGGTTGCCCTTTCCTATCCCGTGTCCTTGTTTCCATGCTTACACTTTGACTATCTTCATGATTATCCAATTTGTGCACCCTGCCCTTTAAAACTTATCTTCCATGCCAAACCCCTGTGTGACGTTTAACTTTTATAGGCCATTCGTGATCTCCCAGGCTTAGACTTTTGTTAACTGATGCCCAAGCCCTCTCAGTCTGTGACCTTGACTTCCTTTGCCATTGATCAAAAAGGTTACTCTTCATAACTGAAGATATCCTCTGATTGGCTGAAATTAAGATATTGACCGTTTTCCCTCAAATTTGGTATATAGATGTATATTGGTATTGTGAGCAATACTACAGCTTTCATTAGTATCATTTGTGACTGTAAGGGTAGTTTTTAGGACTTTTATAATCGCCCTCATTACAATCAGCACTTGTTTATCATTGGCAAATGAAGTAAAACTAAATTGATAATCAAAAAATGAATAGTTTATAGTAAAATATATGTATTTGATCAACTTTCTACGTGTCTGTGGGATGGAGATGTTAAAAATGGCAGACCCTTGTTCAGAGCAAGAATAATATATTGTCAGTAGAACTTTAAAAAAAAAGTTATTTCTTTAACGCATTCAACCCTACATATTTAATATGGACTTGCCCAGTCTTTGATTTGGTAAAGTTCAAATGTGACTTTAGTGGTGAATAGGTTCAAAACATGCATCAGTACTGAGGTAGTCTGACACTTCTGTTCCAGGTGTGAGTGAGGTAGAAGAAGGAGAATTTACCGACACAGAAATCAGGACAGAGTCACATACAGTGGGTCGTCTGACATTTGGCAAACCTCCAGAAACAAAAAAGGTGAATTTTCAATATGATAAAAACATCCGTTACTATATAGCATACGGTAAATTGGTTTCTACTTCTTTTCAATGTCATATTTACATGAACTAATTTACCTTTTTTCTCTATAGTGGTTAGTATAAGTTGTTTATATACGAAGCAGACTTCTTATTGTAATAGTAATTCACTCATAATGCTTGTTGCGTTCAGCATCTTTTCCATCAGAGCAGAAACATATGTATTGTTTGCAAACATTTTCAAGTTAAAAAAACATTTTGAAGTCATCCGAGACAAAGTTTGATTTCAATTTCCAACCCTTATATACATATTCAATACTCTTCATGGATGGTAAAGTTCTTACAGGTGCTTTATCACAACTAGTACTGTTAATTGCATTACCCCTGTCACTCATTCTCCCTTTAGGAATTCTCCCTTTAGGAATTCTCCCTTTAGGAATTCTCCCTTTAGGAAGGGGAAAAGTTTACTATAGCTTATATAAGAAAAGAACACTTTCAGATATATTTTGTTTATTTTTAGTGGAAATAATTCAAATTCAGTTGGATTTCTTATCATGTGATAACTGTTTTCTGGTATGAAATTAAGACCCTAACTCACCCCTCTAAGGGGTGGACCCAGAAGAGTCCAATTGGCTAAAATTTCAGGTCTTCTTCTTCAGAACCAGATATGCTAGAATTAAATATTCTTCATGGCTTGAAAACTTGCAAGGTGTTTTATCAAAATTGTGAATTTCATTACCCAAATATTGCCATTACCCCTAAAGGAGGGAGTACATTTTACTATGTCACATGTTTATATCATACTACAGTGTATATTATTACCTTCTTGTTTTCTGATATTTACCTACTATACATATATGATATTCTGCTCAAAGGACAAGTGAACTTATGCTGTTGTGTGGTGTCCGTCATCTGTCCTGCATCAACTTTTATCTTTAAATGGCTTCTTCACAATAACCAATAGGCCTAAGGTGATGATATTTAGCCAATAGCAAGCCAGGATGAAGAGCTACTAAATTACATCAAATGAAGGACCTCGGCCGATTTTCAAGGTCACCTGGGTCATATATGTTATATGTATAATTTTCCACTTCTTCTGAGTAACCAATATGCCAAGGGTATTGATATTGGCCAGTAGCCTAAGTGGATGAAGGGCTACCATGTTTGTTGAAGTGAATGACCTTGACCCTCTTTCAAGGTTGCTGAGGTCAAATGATTAAAAAAATTCAACACATTCTTCTGAGTAGCCAGCAGCATGCTGGGATGAAAGGATACTAAGGGCTACAAAGTTTGTGCAAATAAATGACCTTAATTGACTTTCAAGGTCACAGTGATCAAATGTCTTAAAAACAACTTCTTTCTAACAACCAGAAGACCAAGTCCGGTCAAATTGGGCCTTTTTCACAATTCAGCCCATTTTAACATGTTCACCCTTGGTCCTCTTTAAAGGTCACTGGTGAGAGATTAATACCAAGTCAGAGATTCAGGCCAAGAAGGCCTCTTGTTTTGTCAGGGAATCCAAAGTTAAAGAGCCATTTTTAGATAATATGTACTGTTTTTCATTGTCACATCACAACTATAATTAACTATTGTATTACAACTCAGGTGACCATTAAGGCCCATGTGCCTTTTGTTTGTTCATCCATTCCACAGATCGCACGAGTTTTCCGCAAGATTGGTGAGGACCTAGAACAAGTTGTTTCCATGGAAACTAAAGACACACCTATGACAGAGCACCTGCGTATTACATACAAAAAAGTCAGTCCCTGATTGATCAAGAACATTGAAGCTCAAAAGGTTAAATTCTGTTGTGAAACTTTAATTCAAACATAATTGATTATGATTTCGCTACAGTCTTTTACCTGTGATAAGCCCAGGGGGCCTGTGTATGAAAACATGTCAAAGTAGGGGTGGGCTTATCACCCGATATGAGTCTGTGTTTTACCAGTCATAGGCCAAGACTGGACATCGTGGTCCACCATTTTGTTTCCAGGTATCACAACATACTAATTCGGAACTGGTAGTAGATTATTTTATAAATATGTATGGTGCATAAATGTTATGTTTCAAATTGCAAATAAAACAGAAATTAATAAAATTAATAAATATATAAGTATAATACACCTAACAAATGGGTACATTATCTTAAAGCTTGTTCCAATTATTCTGATACATGTAGAATGTTGTAGAAATGTTTCACCTACTTTCTCCCTCATTTGAGATGTAGGGTGCTGGCTATCTCCCTCATTTGAGATGTCGGGCTCTGGCTATCTCCCTCATTTGAGATGTAGGGCGCTGGCTATCTCCCTCATTTGAGATGTAGGTCACTGGTTATTTCCCTCATTTGAAATGTAGGGCACGGCTATCACCCGCATGTGAGATGTAGGGCACGGGCTATCTCCCTCATTCGAGATGTAGGGCACGGCTATCACCCGCATGTGAGATGTAGGGCACTGGCTATTTCCCTCCTTTGAGATGTAGGGCGTTGGCTATCTCCCTCAAATATTTGAGTGAGATAGCAAGCGCCCTATATCTCAAATGAGGGAGATAGCCAGCGCCCTCATTTGAGATGTAGGGCGCTGGCTGTCTCCCTCATTTGAGATATAGGGCGCTGGCTATCTCCCTCAAATATTTGAGTTGTAGGGCGCTGGCTATCTCCCTCATTTGAGATGTAGGGCGCTGGCTATCTCCCTCATTTGAGATGTAGGTCACTGGCTATTTCCCTCATTTGAGATGTAGGGCACGGCTATCTCCCTCATTTGAGATGTAGGGCACAGGCTATCTCCCTCATTTGAGATGTCAGGCGCTGGCTATCTCCCTCATTTGAGATGTAGGGCGCTGGCTGTCTCCCTCATTTGAGATGTAGGGCGCTGGCTATCTCCCTCAAATATTTGAGTTGTAGGGTGCTGGCTATCTCCCTCATTTGAAATTTAGGACGATGGCCCTCTCCCTCATTTGAGATGTAGGGCGATGGCTATCTCCCTCATTTGAGTTGTAGGGTGCTGGCTATTTCCATCATTTGAGATTTAGGGCGCTGACTATCTCCCTCATTTAAGATGTAGGGCGCTGGCAATCTCCCTCATTTGTGATGTAGGGCGCTAGCTATCTCCCTCATAGGAAGTTCCAGAGGTTGACACTTTCTAAACGATGGTGTAATTTTTACACAATAAATGAACAAAAATGTGGTTCACCTAATAAATGAATACCAGTGTGATTTTCATGAATTTGTGAGTGATTTTTCAAACAAAAATTGAGTGAAATATTTCTTTTATGAATGAATATGAGCGTGGTTTTTTTCTTCTTATAAACGAATGAGTCAAATTTTCATACTATTGATATAAATATGATTGGTCTACGCAAGATATTGTGTTGCAAGAACGAACAAGCAAGTGTGAAAATTACTATTGTAAGATATTTTAAAATGCTGAAAACTTTTCAAAAAATAAAATTATAAAAATAAAAAATATACATATATATATATATATGATTGTGATTTTGATTTTTCATTGTTAATAGGTACATATAAGTGCTTTTTGTTTTATAGATAAATATGTACCAGTGTATAAATGTGGGTTTTCCTCCATTTATGAGTGCAATGTGATTTTGATTTTTCTAATAAAATGTATACAAATGAACTATTGAGTTTTTGTTTGTTTATAATAAATACCTTGGTTGGAGTCTGACGAGGAACATATGCTTGACTGTACTTGCCATAGTTAACTACAAAGATATATATTTTTATCAAACTCAGTAACAATCTTTCTGAAGACCGATATCAAGAGGTTTGGTTTAATTTTGTGTAACGTCCAATTAACCGCTAAGGTCATTTAAGGATGTGCCTCCATGTACGTGTGTAAGTGTGCATGTGTGTATGTGAGCCAGAGACACTAACAGGGTATGTTGATGTGCTTGCCTCCTTGTGATAGCGTGGATTTGATGCTGACTTTAGAGTGTTTTCTCACTGAAATGCCATGCCAAAGGCACCAGCACAGCATTCCGCCCGGTCACATTATACTGACATGGGTGAACCAGTTGTTGCCATTCCCCTAAATGCTGGACGTTAAGCAGGGAATAACAACTACCATTTTAAGGACTTTGGTATGTTCCGGCCTGGGTACAGAACCCATTGCCTTCCTCACCTGGACGAACGTTCAACAAGAGAGTCATCATCAAAATATGAACAAAGGAAAGATTTATATAGAGACCCTTGAAAAAGTACTATGAGAATAAGACCCAGTGTTCTCGGAGGGTAATTGTCATGTAACTCTAGGTCAAATCCAAGTACCCGGTAATAACATCCTCATTTTGAGAACAAAACAACACAGTACACTAAACAAGAGCTGTCGGAGAACAGCATAGATCGCCTATGTATGTTATTATAATACTGCAACTATCAATAGAAACACATGTACAGTAAAACGTTGATATAGTGCCTGTCATTTTATTTGCCACCTCACTTACCACCAGGATAATTCAAGGACTGTTAAATGTGTAGAAACATCTATGTGAAGTGATTGTTAAGAAATTAACCAAGTCCAATTAAGCTGTTTTTGGATGCTAAAATATGTAAATATGGTTCAACACATTGCTTACACTCAATACAAAGACTACAACCTTATCATAGACAACAGCCTATTGATGGTGGTGGTCCAACACTACCCAACAAAACTTGCACAAAAACTTGAACCTCAAATTCAAATAAGTCCAACTTAGCTGTTTTTGGGCCATAAAATATGAAAATATTGCCCAGAACATTGCTAACACTCCAAATAAATACTTCAACCTTATAATAGACTACAGCCTATTGATGGTGGTTGTCCAAAACTTCACAAAAAAAATGCCCAAAAACTTTAACCACAAATTTAACTAAGTCCAATTAAGCAGTTTTTGGGCCACTAAATATGAAAATATGGTCCAGCACATTGCTTACACTGATATAAATGACTTAAACTCATAATAGACAACTGTGTATTGAGTGTAATGATCCAACACTGTCTGGAAAAAACTTGCACCAAAACTTTAACCTCGGAAGGTGGGACTCCGACGCCGGGGTGACTACATTAGCCCCCCTATTCTTCGAATAGGCGAGCTAACAATGGAAAAAAAAATGGAAAAACATTGACCTTCATATCGCATTAAGAAAAAGCATATTTCCCAATGAGATCATGATCAGAAGAAGAATAGATGAGATCAGAAGAAGTCGTTTAAAGATTTTAACATTTTTGACCCCTGTAACCATGAATATGAGTGAAGATGATTCATTTGAACAATTTTTGTAGCCCTTCATCCCAGCATGCTACTGACCAAATATCATCAGCCTTGGCCTCTTGGTTATTTAGAGGAAGTTGTTTAATAGTTTAAAAATAGTTGACCCCTGCGACCTTAAAAATGGCTAAAGGTCATTTATTTGAACAAACTTGGTAGCTCTTCATCCCAGCATGCTACTGGCCAAATATTATCAGCCTGGATCGCTTGGTTATTCAGAAAAAGTTGTTTAAAGTTTTCAACATATTTGACCCCTGTGACCTTGAATATCGGAAAAGGTCATTTCTTATCGCAAACTTTGTCAGGATTCATCCTAGGAACCTATCGGCCAATTATCACGCTTCTGGGCCTTTTGGTTAATCAGAAGAAGTCGTTTAAAGGTTTTAACAAATTTGCCTCATGTGACTTTGAATATGGGTCAAGGTCATTTCTTTTTGCAAACCTTGTCAGTCTTCATCCTAGGGACCTATCAGCCAAATATCACGCTTCTGGGCCTTTTGGTTAATCAGAAGAAGTCGTTTAATGATTTTAACAAATTTCACCCCTGTGACTTTTAATAAGGGTCAAGGTCATTTCTTTTTGCAAACTTTGTCGGGCTTCATCCCAGCAAACAACCAGCCAAATATCATGACATTTGGCCTGTTGGTTATTTAGAAGTCGTTTAAATGGAAAAGTTGTTGCCGGACGGACGGACGACGGATGACGACGCCACACCACGGCATAAGCTCACATGGTCCTTCGGGCTAGGTGGGCAAAAAACCCATCAGACTCCGATATACTTGCACTTGGAAAATTAACGGAGGAAAAGAAAGTCCTTAACGTAAAAGATGAGTTGGTACTTAAACTGCTAAACAAAACTTAATCCGAACAAGACTCCGGAGTTGGACGAACTGTACCCAATGTTTCTCAAAATACTGGTCCACCAATACCAAATACCAGGTCCTTTGGTTTGTTTGTGTACACGTCCTATTAACAGCTAGGGTCATTTACGGACGTGCCAGGTTTGGTGTGTTTGTGTACACGTCCTATTATACAGCTAGGGTCATTTACGGACGTGCCAGGGTTGGTTTGTTTGTGTACACGTCCTATTAACAGCTAACGTCATTTACGGACGTGCCAGGTTTGGTGTGTTTGTGTACACGTCCTATTATACAGCTAGGTTCATTTACGGGCGTGCCAGGGTTGGTTTGTTTGTGTACACGTCCGATTAACAGCTAACGTCATTTACGGACGTGCTAGGTTTGGTGTGTTTGTGTACACGTCCTATTAACAGCTAGCGTCATTTACGGACGTGCCAGGTTTGGTGTGTTTGTGTACACGTCCTATTAACAGCTAGGGTCATTTACGGACATGCCAGGTTTGGTTTGTTTATGTACACGTCCTATTAACAGCTAGGGTCATTTACGGACGTGCCAGGTTAACAGCTAGCGTCATTTACGGACGTGCCAAGTTTGGTTTGTTTATGTACACGTCCTATTACCAGCTAGGGTCATTTACGGACGTGCTAGGTTTGGTGTGTTTGTGTACACGTCCTATTAACAGCTAGGGTCAGTTACGGACGTGCCAGGTTAACAGCTAGCGTCATTTACGGACGTGCCCAGTTTGTTTGTTTATGTACACGTCCTATTACCAGCTAGGGTCATTAACGGACGTGCCAGGTTTGGTTTGTTTATGCACACGTCCTATTACCAGCTAGGGTCATTTATGGACGTGCCAGGTTTGGTGTGTTTGTGTCCACGTCCTATTAACAGCTAGGGTCATTTACGTACGTGCCAGGTTTGGTTTGTTTATGTACACTTCCTATTAACAGCTATGGTCATTTACGGACGTGCCAGGTTAAACACCTAGCGTCATTTACGGACGTGCCAGGTTTGGTTTGTTTATGTACACGTCCTATTAACAGCTATGGTCATTTACGGACGTGCCAGGTTAAACACCTAGCGTCATTTACGGACGTGCCAAGTTTGTTTGTTTATGTACACGTCCTATTACCAGCTAGGGTCATTTACGGACGTGCCAGGTTTGGTGTGTTTGTGTACACGACCTATTAACAGCTAGGGTCATTTACGGACGTGCCAGGGTTGGTTTGGTTGTGTACACGTCCTATTAACAGCTAGGGTCATTTACGGCCGTGCCAGGTTTGGTGTGTTTGTGTACACGTCCTATTACCAGCTAGGGTCATTTATGGACGTGCCAGGTTTGGTGTGTTTGTGTACACGTCCTAACAGCTAGGGTCATTTACGGACATGCCAGGTTTGGTTTGTTTATGTACACGTCCTATTAACAGCTGGGGTCATTTACGGACGTGCCAGGTTTGGTTTGTTTGTGTCCCCGTCCTATTAACAGCTAGGGTCATTTACGGACGTGTCAGGTTTGGTTTGTTTGTGTACACGTCCTATTAACAGCTAGCGTCATTTACGGACGTGCCAGGTTTGGTGTGTTTGGGTACACGTCCTATTAACAGCTAGGGTCATTTACGGACGGGCCAGGTTTGGTGTGTTTGTGTACACGTCCTATTACCAGCTAGGGTCATTTATGGACGTGCCAGGTTTGGTGTGTTTGTGTACACGACCTATTAACAGCTAGGGTCATTTACGGACGTGCCGGGTTTGGTGTGTTTGTGTACACGTCCTATTAACAGATAGGGTCATTTACGGACGTGCCAGGTTTGGTTTGTTAGTTGTACACGTCCTATTAACAGCTAGGGTCATTTACGGCCGTGCCAGGTTTGGTGTGTTTGTGTACACGTCCCATTTACGGGCGTGCCAGGTTTGGTTTCTTTGTGTACACGTCCTATTAACAGCTAGCGTCATTTACGGACGTGCCAGGTTTGGTGTGTTTGGGTACACGTCCTATTAACAGCTAGGGTCATTTACGGACGGGCCAGGTTTGGTGTGTTTGTGTACACGTCCTATTAACAGATAGGGTCATTTACGGACGTGCCAGGTTTGGTTTGTTAGTTGTACACGTCCTATTAACAGCTAGGGTCATTTAAGGACGTGCCAGGTTTGGTGTGTTTGTGTACACGACCTATTAACAGCTAGGGTCATTTACGGACGTGCCGGGTTTGGTGTGTTTGTGTACACGTCCTATTAACAGCTATGGTCATTTACGGACGTGCCAGGTTAAACACCTAGTGTCATTTACGGACGTGCCAAGTTTGTTTGTTTATGTTCACGTCCTATTACCAGCTAGGGTCATTTACGGACGTGCCAGGTTTGCTTTGTTTGTGTACACGTCCTATTAACAGCTAGGGTTATTTACGGTCGTGCCAGGGTTTGTTTGTTTGTGTACACGTCCTATTAACAGCTAGGGTCATTCACGGACATGCCAGGTTTGGTGTGTTTGTGTACACGTCCTAACAGCTAGGGTCATTTACGGACATGCCAGGTTTGGTTTGTTTATGTACACGTCCTATTAACAGCTAGGGTCATTTAAGGACGTGCCAGGTTTGGTGTGTTTGTGTACACGACCTATTAACAGCTAGGGTCATTTACGGACGTGCCAGGTTTGGTGTGTTTGTGTACACGTCCTATTAACAGCTAGGGTTATTTACGGACGTGCCAGGGTTTGTTTGTTTGTGTACACGTCCTATTAACAGCTGGGGTCATTTACGGACGTGCCAGGTTTGGTTTGTTAGTGTACAGGTCCTATTAACAGCTAACGTCATTTACGGACGTGCCAGGGTTGGTTTGTTAGTGTACACGTCCTATTAACAGCTAGCGTCATTTACGGACGTGCCAGGTTTGGTATGTTTGTGTACACGTCCTATTAACAGCTAGTGTCATTTACGGACGTGCCAGGTTTGGTGTGTTTGTGTACTCGTCCCATTTACGGACGTGCCAGGTTTGGTATGTTTGCGTACACGTCCTATTAACAGCTAGTGTCATTTACGGACGTGCCACGTTTGGTGTGTTTGTGAACACGTCCTATTAACAGCTAGGGTCATTTACGGACGTGCCAGGTTAACAGCTAGCGCCGAATTATATTGTAGAAGGAGACGCTTCTTTGTGTACACGTCCTTTTAACAGCTAGGGTCATTTACGGACGTGCCAGGTTAACAGCTAGCGTCATTTACGGACGTGCCAGGTTTGGTTTGTTCAAAAAGTCAAATGTAAACATTGTAAATAGTATTTGGCTCTAAGTGTCTTCATTTCATTTCCATATCATTGACAAAATAAGATTTTATTATCAATTGATTAACGAAACAAGAAATTAGGCTTGAGCACACAATTTATGCTTGAGCATGAGAACGGTTTCATGAATACAGGCCCTGGTGTCTGATCAGCAGCATGAGATAGAGTGTCATATGACCCAGTGGTGAAATTATCCTACCAATATGTAATTCTGAAAAAGACTTAGCAAGCAAGTTCTGTGATAACTTTCTGAATAAAATCAGCTCAATCAGGAAAAATATTACCGAAGTGAACACCTCTGCTGACATTAACATCTCTGTCATGACTGCTGACATTGCATTTGATGGGGAACCATTGACAAAGCTCTCATCAACAACCCAGGACGAGTTGCGCAACATTATCATGACCTCGCAATCGAAGTCCTGTGAGCTTGATCCACTGCCTACAGACCTATTAAAGCAATGTCTTGAAGCACTGCTTCCTTTGATTACCGCAATCATGAATAAATCATTGGTTGAGTCAAAGGTTCCATTATGTTTCAAGAAGGCACATGTCAGACCATTGTTAAAAAAGCCTGGAATGGACAAGGAGGAGTTGAAAAACTACCGCCCAGTTTCAAATCTGCCTTTTCTGTCTAAGATCTTGGAGAAGGTTGTGTCCCGGCGTTTAGAGGTTCATCTCCATGCAAACAGTCTCCATGACAACATGCAATCGGCCTACCGCATGGGACACTCTACTGAGACGGCCCTCCTACGTGTACATAGTGATATAGCTTCTGCATTGGATAACAAGTGCAGAGCGGTGCTTGTCATGCTGGACTTGTCAGCTGCATTTGACGTCATCGACCATGGCATACTTTATAAACGTCTGGAATACTCTTATGGAGTGACTGATACCGCACTATGCTGGATACAGTCATACCTGAGTGAACGACGACAGTGTGTTGCCATCGGATCTGCCACCTCACATGACAAAGTACTAGATTTCGGGGTTCCTCAAGGGTCGGTGTTAGGACCACGAAAATATTGTATGTACTCCAAACCGATTGGAGAGATTTGTCGTCGCCATAGCCTTCGCTATCATTGCTATGCTGATGACACACAAATTTACATGGTCATAAAACCACAGGACAGTTGGAATACAGTCTCAGAAAGTCTGGAAGCTTGTCTGACAGATATCAGTATCTGGATGAACGCCAACATGCTTAAACTTAATCAGGAAAAGACGGAACTAATCGTCTTTTCCCCAAAGTGTCAGCAAACAATGGCTCTCCAGCTCAAGGTTGGTGCCAGAACTATTGAGACTGTTCCAGCTGTTAAAAACCTAGGGGTATACTTTGACAGTTCTCTGAACATGGAGAAACAAGTGAACGCTATTGCCAAATCCTGTTACTACCAGATCAGGAACATCGGCTGTATTCGGCAGTTTCTAACTGCAGATGCATGCAAGATTTTGGTGCATTCACTTGTTACCTCTCGGTTGGATTATGGTAACGCCCTGCTCTGTGGTATATCTGACAAACTAACTAGTCGTCTGCAGAGGGTTCAGAACACTGCAGCACGGCTAGTTACTCGTACTCGAAAGAGAGAGCACATCACACCTGCGCTTTATTCGTTGCACTGGTTACCTGTACGATACAGGTCGCAGTACAAAATTCTGGTATACACATACAAGGCACTGAATGGAACAGCTCCTCAGTACCTACAGGAACTTGTTACCCTGTATCAGCCGTCAAGATCACTGCGGTCGGAGTCAGAATCTTTGTTGTGTGTCCCAAAATCTCGTACTGTGACCTACGGAAACAGATGCTTTGGGAGGGTTTCGGCTACGTTGTGGAATAGCTTACCATCTGCTATTAGGAAGTCGAATACCCTGGCCAAGTTCAAGAGGGACATAAAAACTCACCTCTTCACGTCTGCATTTTAGAATCTTTGCAAAGACGTCATGTAAATACCACCCTTTTATTTGTTCAATTATGTGCACATTGCTTGTTAAATGTATGAAAGTGATTGCAAGCCTTTGTTGTTTGTTTTCACAATTATAACCATTACTATTATCCATATGTTGTAAAGCGCCTTAGAGTAATTTTACAAATTATATAGGGCGCTATATAAATGCTGTATATTATTATTATTATATGGAGGATACACCAGATAGCAGATAACAAGAACCTTCTAAAGATTACTTTATATTTTTAAAAAATGCTTTCATAAAATTCACTATTCAATTTTTCCGTTTTTGGTCCGTCCTTAAACAATTCTTTTTTCTGAGCAAGTACTGGAGGGATCGTTCTTAAAGTTTACATGAAGGTTCCCATGGTCTCTAGTTACGCATATCGAATTCTGGGACTGATCGGAAAACAAAGATGGCCAACGGGCGACCATCTCGAATCTTGAGAGTTAGATTGTTAGCGCTATTTCTCAGAAGCACTGGTGGGAATTTTCACATATTTCACATGAAGGTTCCCTATGGTCCCTTGTTATGCATGACAATTTTTGGGATTTATCGAAAAACTGATGTGTACGTAGGGTAGGGCTTCGCATAGGTGAACACAGTTAGACCGAATTATATTGTAGAACTCTCAGCCACATTCTTGAAACGAGCATGTTACCAGACATATGAATATGAATAACATATCTGCTGATGTCGCTTACTTAATCGATGAATTTTAGAGATATGTTCTGAAGACGCTTCTTCATATGTTGAGTTCTATTCACACACGTATGCCACGCCGCCGATCGTAATAATAAATTAATCATAACTCGATCATTTTTTCAAATATCGAGCAGAAATTTGGAATATATAGAGAATAATACATGCCTTTTTCCATAGCACACCCAGTATCAATCCAAGACTGATATTTGTCGAGGGTTGATACTGGGTGTGCTATGGAAAAAGGCATGTATTATTCTCTATCTATCTTACGATAATTTTTTTCTTTTGAAATATTGAAAAACGAAAAAAAATCAAAAAGAGGTGTTGATACGGCTTTTGGGGTGTGATACGGTGACGGCTGATATATGGGTTTGAGCAATTGTGTCGTATCGCATATACAGAAAAGTCGTATTTTTTTAGTAATTAAGTATGTAATAAATATCAATCATAGCCTAACTAATAACATATCTTCTGATGTCGCTTACTTTAGCGGGTAATTGAAACGATATTATCTGGCGACGCTTTCTACACTTTACATGCTAATACACACATGTGCCACGATGCGATCGAAAAATTCAATTCATCATAACTCGGTCATTTTATCAAATATCAAATTAAAATTTGGTACAGAGGTGTATTATAGTCATATTAACAACATATCTTCTGATGTCGCTTACTTTATTCAGTATTTTTAAAGATTTTGTCTGGCGACGCTTGTTGTCATTTGAAGACGCCTTTTGTCGATTGAAGACGCTTTTATTATACGTCTCTGGCCCAAGAAGCAAAACTTATACCAATGTAGAGGATTTATAATTATCTTTCCTATGCTGAATACAAATTCATTATGTATGAATGGAGATTATTAATGGCCTTATAAATACAAAATTCACATCAAATCTCTTCACGTCCGAGTGCATTCCGGGTTTTGTCCTTATGTAATCTGTAATTAGAATTGCGTAAACAAAAATGGCCGCCCTTATAATAGCGCGGAGTCGATGTTTCCGGTTGTTTTCTTCAAGACGACAGATTGTAATATTTGACATTGCTAGAAATGGAACATGCAGAATAACTGAGCCGGGTTTCATAATTTCAAGATCGTGTTCGCATATACCCACTAGAATAATCATATCAACAAAATTAACGTTCCCAGACCTTGATGTCGTAGGTGAACGACTAATCGGTAAAGACAACTCAAACATCAAGAGACTTGTAGATGAGAGTGGCTGTAAGTGGGAAGCTGAAGTGGACGAGAAACATGTTCATATTGAAGGAAACGAATATGCAGTAGTGAAGATCGCAAAAGACATAGTAAAGAAGGAAGTTCAAACAATACGGAAAGCCATAAATGAGGAGATGCACTTAGAAAATAGAAAGGAAGACATTCAAACAAAAAGGGAACGTACTGATGATTTCCATAAGTGTTTGCAGGTCGAAGAAAGGGTGTTTATAGATCATAATAGTGCTCTTTGTAGAATAGTTGGTCTAAAACTCGGAGAGTGTATTCAGAAACTCCTTGGACTTGGAGGTGGAGTCGAGATATCTGTGAAAGGTAACCATGTCTATATCAATGGGACTGATGGTGATGCTGTAAGGAGAACAGCAGAACAAATAGCATGGAACATTCAAGTAATCAGGGAACAAAATGGAGATATGGGGCAGTTCAAAGAAAAAGTGTTGATGGGTCAAGACGTTCATGTCCAATGAAAGATTAAACAAAAAAACAGAGAATCTCCAAAGAGAACATGAGGTCAACACTGATGTAGAAGGTCCGAATCAGGGAACAAAATGGAGATATGGGGCAGTTCAAAGAAAAAGTGTTGATGGGTCAAGACGTTCATGTCCAATGAAAGATTAAACAAAAAAACAGGGAATCTCCAAAGTGAACATGAGGTCAACATTGATATAGAAGGTGACTTCGTCAATATATCGGGGACAGGTGAAGATGCAGTGAGGAGAACAGCATATAAAGTAGCGTGGTACATTCAATCCATAAGGAAAAAGTTCTCAAGATAAGGAGCAGTTGGAACAAACAGTGTTTATATCGATGTAGATGGTGACCACATGTACATGCACGTCTTTATCTCTGGGCCAGATGATCATGATAAAGTGAGAAAAACTGCAGAAAACGTAAAGCAGGACATTCAATCAAAAAGGAAAAGTCTGTACAGCTCAATACTCATGTGACCTATTCAGTTTTGTGAACCCTTTTTTTCTGTCATTGTGCATCATCTGTGGTCCATAAACTTTCTATATTTTTGACTTCCTCTTTATTAAGAATCAAGAAATGGATTTCTTTCAAACTTGATAAGAATCATACTTAGTTTAAGATGGTATCAAATTGTAAAATTTGGGTTCCTGTCCAAAACCCCAGGTGCAAATGATGAGGCCAAATCAGTGTTCAAACAATCACCATAAAAAACACTGCATGTACATCAATTGGAATCATTTACTTAATCCACCAGGTTGTTTATTTGCTTTACTTTAGTCTTACACATACAAATGTATTTTCATTATTTCATGTCCTCGCTCAGGACCGTGTTTATTGTGAAATGTATATATATAGTATTTCGTCGTTAATGTTACCTATTTTCCGCCTATTTTTAGCCCACCATCATCTGATGGTGGGCTATTCAACTCGCCCTGCATCCGTGGTCCGTCCGTAAACAATTCTTCTTATCAGTATTTCTCAAGAAGTGCCAAAGGGATCTTTCTCAAATTTTATATGTAAGTTCCCTTTGGTCCCTAGCTGTGCAGGGCTACTTTTGAGACTGATAGGATTAACAACATGGCCGACAGGCAGCCATCTTGGATTTTGATAGTGAAAGTTTGTTAGCGCTATTTCTCAGGGAAGTACCAGAGGGATCTTTCTCAAATTTTTATATGTAGGTTCCCTTTGGTCCCTAGCTGTGCAAGGCAACATTTGAGACTGATCGGATAAACAACATGGCCGACAGGCAGCCATCTTGGATTTTGATAGTGTAGGTTTGTTACCGCTATTTCTCCTTGGCCCCTTGTTGTGCATGGGCAACTATTGAGACTGATCGGATAAACAACATGGCCGACAGGCAGTCATCTTGGATTTTGACAGTGAAAGTTTGTTATGGCTATTTCTCAGAAAGTACCAGAGGGCTCTTTCTCAAAATTTTATATGCAGGTTCCCCTTGTTCCCTTGTTGTGCATGCAGCAGTGCCTGAAATGGACTGTCAAAAGTTGTCAAAAGTGAGGTAGTCACTGGCCCAACACAAATAGTTTGGGCGACTGTCAACAAATTTATGAATGAAAGAAATTATAGTCCCTTCCACATTAACTGGGGGGGGCAGTACATTTTTCAGTTGTCATTGCTTCGATTTGAATTGGACCGTCCGTGATTTAGAAAATGTGATGATTCTTTTTTCAGATTTTCTATATAAATAAGGCCAGGGTGTCTCCTTTGAGGTGCAAGTTTTGTGTATTTCTTTGGGAAATACTTAAGACCTGAATTTCATATTTTCCGCGTTTCGGAGAATAGCGGAAAATAATTGTGCTATTACGGTATTCGGGTGTTTTCGTCGGGTATCGTAGGTCTGATTTATTGTCCAATGAGAGAGTGACGCGTTGTACGCACGTGCAAGGTAGGAAAGTGTGGTAGGGCAAACGAGGTATTGGTCATTCTAGCCGTGGACACCAGGGCGTAGTCAAGCAAAATTTATATGAGTAGAATTATTGTTTTTTTTTGTTTCAAGTTTAAATCTATATTACACTAATAACAGGGAATGAATATGTAATATCGGCTAACGTGATAGAAATCCAACGCACCGAGCTTTAAGCATTGAGGGTTGGTACACCTCCTGTTTTCCGTGAAGGTTTTTTCAGGTTGGGTGGCTCGCTTAGCTCATTAGTTTTTAATACTTGACGGTCATTTGTGCGACTTAAGTGTGTTGTAAGAGAGGGCTCTTCATTATACCAAGATATTATGAATTATGTGTAACAGATCGATCTCCATGTCACTTGATATGTAATACATGTAATAAACGCCGGACGCCCTATTGTACACTCTGGCTAATTGCAGTGAATTGTTTGAGTTATTCTTGGGAGAGGAGTATATAGAGGACTGGATCCGGAGTGGATCATGTCGGGTTTTAACTAGGGTTGAAGAAATAAAAATATAATGTTTTGTTCTGTTTTACATATATTACAAACATTATCATGTCATGTGTAATTTAAATGCGTTAAATGCGGTGGAAATATTTCTTCCCAAAATTATTTGGGCCTCCAATATGTCATTTGTGTTTTAAATTTTCTACTTGCCCAAAGTAAAATGTTTGGGGCTCATATCCTTTATTGTTCATGTTTACTTTTGAAACTCATCAGTTAAACAAAATGGCCTACCAACAGCCATCTTTGATTTTTAACATTGAAGGTTTGTTAGTACTATTTCTCAGGAATAACTTGAGGGATCCTTCTCAAATTTGTTTGTTGTGCATGCTATATTTCGAGACTGATCATAAAAACAAAATGGCTTAAGGAAGAACTAAACAGATCTGTCTCATATTGCAATGATCGATTCTATTTCTTTCACATTAAGGGCTGTACTAGTAAATATGTGAAATGACAAACTCACTTTGAAGGTTGGCTTTCATACACATCAGTATTAAGTTTAGATCAAAACTTACCTCAAGGTGCATTTACTGTTAACATGACTCGATCAAACAGATTAGAGGAAAGAAGAGAAAAGATCAAACTGTCGAAGAACTAATGATGATGGTACAATGGTGGGCGCCAAGATCCCTCTGGGATCTCTTGTTTCTTTTAAAAATCATAATGACACATCTTTTAACCATGTTCATCCCTAACCTAACTTATATGACGAAAAAAACTGGATACATTTAACATTTGATTTCCTGATCAGGATGTCCACGCTCGGGACTGTGTATGTTATAAGATGTATATATTTAGTAATTCGTTGTTTTTAGCTCACCTGATCCAAAGGACCATAGTGAACTAATGCCATACTGCAGCGTCCGTCCGTCAACTTTTCCTTTAAAACGCTACTAGTCCTGAACGGCCAAGTAGATTTTGACTAAATTTGGTCTGGAACATCCTTAGGCCTAGGGGACTCAATTTTGTATAAATGGTTGGTGGGGGCAGAGGGGCGGGGCCCAATAGCGGAAATAGAGGTAAACCTTTAAAATCCTTCTTCGACCATCGGGATTAAGGGATTTTATCATTATTTAGTCTGGAGCATCCTTTGGCCAAGGGGACATACTTGCAGATAAACATTTGTATTAGCTGTAGCGTTGTACTGATGGTTTATGAAGTTATGAATCGTCATGACCCTTCAATCTGGTTGGATGATCCCCCAGTTTAGTAACCCCTCTGTCACAGAATGGAGAAGTGGACAAAGAAGGGATTGATTTGGTGGTACCCTGTTAAAATTTATTAAAATTATGATATAAAAAATCTAACCTTGTCATTGTTTTTCAACTTCTTACACTTTGATAAGAATTTGTTACAAAATTTGAATAGAAACAAAAATGAATATCCGAAGGACCATGGTGAGCTTATGCCATACCGCAGAGTCCTTCTTCTTCTGTAGAAAGGAAAGGATTTGTTCCATATTTGGTCTGAAGCATCCTTGGGTGAAGGGGAACCAATTTTGTATAAACCGTCGGTCTGGCCTCCCAGGGGCCTGAAGGGTGGGGCCCAATAAGGGAAACATAGCAAATTATTCTTTAAAATCCTTCTTCTGTTGGAATGAAAGGATTTGGTCCATATTTGATGTGGAGTATCCTTGGGTAAAAGGGAACACATTATTTTATAAATGGTGGGTCTAGCCCCCTTGGGTGCTGAGGCCCAATAGGGGAAATATAGCAAATTTTTTAAAATCCTTTTTCTTCTGTAGGAATAAAAGGATTTGTTCCATAGTTGGTCAGAAGCATCCTTGGGGGAAGGGGAACCAATTCTGTATAAATGGTGGGTCTGGGGGCTGAGGGGCGGGGCCCAATAGGGGAAATATAGCAAATTCTTTAAAATCCTTCTTCTTCTGTAGGAATGAAAGGATTTGTTCCATATTTGGTCTGAAGCATCCATGGGTGAAGGGGAACCAATTTTGTATAAACCTTGGGGCCTGAGGGGTGGGGCCCAATAGGGGAAACATAGCAAATTATTCCCTTAAAATCCTTCTTCTTCGGACCATATTTGGTGTGGAGCATCCTTGGGTAAAGGGGAACCGATTTTGTATAAACGGTGGATGTGGCCTCACTGGAACCTGAGGGGCGGGGCCCAATAGGGGAAATAGTGGTAAAACCTTTAGAATCCTTCTTCTACCATAGGGATTAAGAATTTTATCCTAATTTAGTCTGGAGCATCCTTGGGCAAAAGGGACTCAATTTCGTATAAACAGCGATTGGAGGCAGGAGTAGATGTAAAGTGGGGGTATTAAATCTGCTCCTAGCCTCCTCCTAGGAGGAGGTAAGATGAGGTATTATATCAATGTTGAATCAAGAAGGATGAGATAAGATGAGGTTCTAGGAGGAGGTATGATGAGGCAAGGAGGAGAGGGGGGGGGGGGGGGTTATTAAACCTCCTCCTAGCCTCCTCCTAGAATGAGATACTAGAAGGAGGTAAGATGAGGTATTATATCAATGTTGAATCAAGGAGGATGAGATAAGATTAGGTTCTAGGAGGAGGTATGATGAGGCAAGGAGGAGAGGGGGGAGGAGGTTATTAAACCTCCTCCTAGGATGAGATACTAGGAGGAGGTAAGATGAGGTATATATCAATGTTGAATCAAGGAAGATGAGGTTCTAGGAGGAGGTTAGGATAGTCAGCCCTATATGGCACGGATAAGTCAAGGTTAAAGGTCAAAGCAATGATAAAAAGCCATTACAAATAACTGGAGACTTCTTCAAAAACAATGATGTAATACAACCACGTTATTCATCGATGGTCAAGTGTTTCAATGGCATAGATACCTTTGCTAACTGGCCAAAACACCATCATCATTCTCCATATCAACTCGCAATTAACGGAGTTTTCTATACTGGCATTGACGGCTGCGTTACTTGTTTTATGTGCGGTGCTTCGTTAAAGCGCCGGAACTATTTTGACGATATCACAACGGAGCACGTGAGATGGTCAAAAGATTGTCTGTTTCAACAGATGATGTTCGTCATTTAAATACATCATTTTGAATCACGTTATCATGTTTTAAGATCATACCAATACGTGCATGTGTGATAATGGAATTAAACACAGACTTGTTTGTTAAAAGTTGCAAAGCTATCTGATTGAAAAAATCGAAGAAAAGGTCGATCGGAGAATTATAAAAAAAATCTGCTGTGTCTCTCTTATGCATACATTGTAAGATCAAAAATAACAGAACCATTCGTATGTTTGCCTGGCTGTGAGAATCGTCGAGCTAGTCCACATGAACATGAATGTCTTATGTATTCAAGTGCTGTTATTATAGGCTTACATTTTGACGAAGCATTGTCTTTCACAAATCATTTAGAAGTGGAAAAGACTTGGCGTGAGTTTGTCATTCAATCTTGTATACCTTCAGACGTATTACAACGCCTGATGCAAGACGAACGTAAAACAAAGTTATAGCGAAAAGATAAAGAAATACGTTAAGAAGATCGGTAATGTCGAAACCTGGCTATTCTTTTAATATACATACAGATG